GAGTACCGGGTCCTGTCGCATCGTCCAAATTCACGATACCGCTTTCGTTTCAACCCGCGCCGCTCGTCGGTAACGCGTTTCGTATGAAAACACCTCTAAAGTATGGTACGCGCATACGTCTCGCGAGCACGTCCAATTGCACGTTGGTAGTTGCACCCGAGGGCATTTTTATCGTCTCTTTGGCGTTTTTTTTTCTTCACTGTTACGCCCTGTCCGCGTCCGTATTTGTGCGGACCGAGATACAGTCCGCGACCTTGTTCCATCGCGCGATCGTGACGTTGCAGGTTCTCGCGCTGACGTCGCACGGCTTTGCTATTGTTTACAGCTTTCGCCACACTGGCCGCTCCTCCAGTCAAGGATCCGAGCGCGCCCAGCATTGGCAGAAAAGGTAACATGCCGTCTCGTTTCACCGTCGGCAGTATCCGTTTTTTCGTTGTCTTTTTCTTCGTCGTTTTCTTCTTCGGTTTCATGCCCATCTTGGTCTTAGTTTTCATCGTTGCCAAAACGGCAGCAGCGGCGGTTCTTCGCTCAGAGCCGAATCTCTTGCGGTGACCTGTCCTAGCGCTTTATCGGCGAATACCTTGTCCGCCGTGTGGCTATCGGTGAGATCGTTGCTCCGAGAGTACGCAATGTCGTGTCCTCGACACGCCGCGTCCAGCGGATTTATACCCGTATCACCTCTGGCTAAAAGTTTTGTAAGTCGAGTGCCCGGACCGCAAAACTGTTAGCCCGGGATGTGTAAATCGAAAGGAAGCGCGTTTATTGCTCGATTCAACAGACTGCCGCCCGACGCTGACATTCGCTACAGTCCTTTATCTTCGGTGTCGGACCGTCGATATGCGTCCGCTGCAGCGGCTGATTGTAGTGCTCGTCGCAGCGATGATACGTTCGAACCTCCGAATCAACCTTAATGTGTCCCGGAAGCTTGTCCCACACCTAGTCGATATAGTCACCGTACACTGGTAACAGTACGATTTTCGGTATATACTGCAACTGCTCGGCGCTCAAATCCAGAATGTCGGAAGGATGATACAGCGCGAGATACATTTTATTACTGCGCGACTAGCGAATTCGCGCGCCTTTAAATAGGCGGTCGAGAGTGCGCAGTCAGTAGTGCGAGCATGAAATTCGTGCTGCAATTGATGGCGATACGCGTCACGAACTGCGACGCGAAATCGCGAATAATGGGAAGCGGCGTGGAGAAGCGCAAGCACGGCGAAATGCTGTCGAGTACTATACGCGCGATCATTTGCGGCCCGTCGAATTGTGGTAAAACGAACGTTCTTATAAGCTTACTCGAGAACTCGAACGGCGTACAGGGTGTTGCAGATATAAACTAGGCAGTACGACGGGTTGCGTGGGCAAACTTTGCAGAGACAGGACGGGCAGGCGCGGTTCAGTAGGTAATGACGGTGCAGCGTAGATAATGACGGCGCCTCTATATCGACAAATTCAGTAGCATGTCAGACGTCCTGACGGACTTTGTCAACATGAAAAAGAGCCAAAACGACAATTAAAGACGAAAAATTTAAAAGATGTTACGTAATAGAATATTTTTCATACATATAAATATATATAAACGCATATAATTAAATACAAAATGTTTCCATATATCCCTTCTTTCTTTATAAAATTAGTGTCGGCGACAAGCAAAAATAGTAATAATAATAATGAAAGAAGATAATAAAAGGAATAATTTTCGCATTGTTTCTTTTAAGAAAAATTAAAATTGAAAAACTGAGAGAGAATTGCTCAAATGATTTATACAAAGTTATATCTAAGTAATATTATTTAATTTTTTAAACTTGACTTTTTATAAAACAATTAATGCAAAAATTATACTCGTAATTATTTTTTTACGTTTTCCTATTATTACTATTTTCTTCTACCTAACAGTAATTTTACAAAAGAAAGAAGAATATGTGATAATATATATGAACATATTTCGTATACAGGGTGTTTGAAAATTACCGGATAATCGATCACGAGCAGGTAGAACGGACCGAATTGAATCGAAAATTCCTATACCATTTTGTAGGTTGCGCAACAGTTAACGAGATATTAAAGTTTAAAGATAGTCGAATAAGCGCGTTCGGCCGGCCTACTGCTGCCGAATATACAACCTATCGTCCCCACCGATCGCACGGCGTGCAGGCCTCTGGGCGTTGCCGTTCAGCGTCTTTACGCGAGGTAATCCCTTACCAGATTTCTTACTCTGTTTCTTAGGTGTGACCAACATCAACGGCACGATTACCTGTTTGTACTTGTATCCACTGTTGCTCAATAATCGACCCTGCGAATGCTTGTGCTTGTGCGCGCTCGTCACCAACAGCATGCTCTTGTATTTATGCATATCGTCTTCCGTGTAGAGGGCATCGTCGGGAATTCTTTTGAAACTCATAAAGACCAGGGATACCGGCGTATCGTACGCCGTCGATAATTATGTTGTCCACATCATCCACGTCGAAACGTTTATTGCCAAACATTAATCCATCCTTGCGGAGGTAAACGCCGTACACGTGATCTATACCGCTCTCTTTATCTTGCACTCCCCGCAGGACAGCCTCGACGTAATTTTGACCCAACGGGCCCAAGCTGGCTTTTAACGTCTCTCGACCTTCCGACGTTTGCAACTGATTTTGAAACATCGTCGCTAGCGAGTCTTCCGTCGCTTCAAAAACGTTCTCCAACGACTCTATCGTCGGTACGATTTTGGCACGCGGGGTGGAGATTATCGGTTCATGCGATCATTGAATTTATGCAGAGTCGTGGAACGCTCGAACGTCTCGCTCGCTTCTTCTCCCTCCTCTTCTTCCTCCTCTACCTTCCTCTAACGTTTAGGGGCAGACGCTGCATTTTCGCACGACTCTCTCTTTGTCGCGCGCTGGCCTGCGCTGTCGACGAAAAGTCGCAGCGGCTCGATAAGAGGCTTAAAATGTCTATCCAGCGCGATGCTCTTCTTGCCCGGTTTTCAGAGCGCGATGTTTCTTGAGGATCGACTCGCTCATTTTCTCGATCTCTCTCGCGATTTTTTCACGCTTGCGCACATCTGCCATGTTCGTCTGTGGCTAAGTATCGACAACGACTGGTCACGTTACGGTATCGCGAACTCGTTAAATCCTTTTCTGTATCGTCCATTTGTGAGCGCACTGTCTTTGTCTATCTCCACGAAACCATATTTTGTTGCCAACAGTCGCGGCACAACATGTAAAATTCATCATACGACATGTCGGTATTCACATGATCGTTGTAAACGTGTTTCAAGTTGGTACCGTCCTGTTTGAATAGGATCAGCAGGTTCGCGTTGTCACGTATCAGATGTTTAGGTATCCTCGCGTACATCTGACAGAGACAGAAGCTGTCGACGTTTGCGTGGCGGCCCATCGAAAAGTATTCTCTCACCGCATCCTGCTCGTCGCATGCCACGTCATTAAAGATAAAAATAGAATTTGGGCGCGCCTAGCTCGGTGGATCGACGTCGCTATTGTTGGACAACATAAAGTACCGATTTAGACGATAGACGTAAACAAATTTTCAAGATATTAATACTTTGGCTGTTGCAACGATTTCGAGTAGACGTACACGTTCTCGAAACGTACAGGGTATTGCAGATACATACTAGGCAGTACGACGAGTTTTGTGGGCAAACTTTGCAGGGACAGGCCGGGCAGGCGCGGTTCGGTAGGTAATGACGGTGCAGCGTAGATAATGACGACACGACGCCTCTATATCGACAAATTCAGTAGCGTGCCAGACGTTCTGACGGACTTTGTCATCATGAAAAAGAGCCAAAACGACAATTAAAGACGAAAAATTTAAAAAATGTTACGTGATAGAACATTTTTCATACGTATAAATATATAAACGCATATAATTAAATACAAAATGTTTCCATATATCCTTCTTTCTTTATAAAATTAGTGTCGGCGACAAGCAAAAATAGTAATAATAATAATAATGAAAGAAGATAATAAAAGGAATAATTTTCGCATTGTTTCTTTTACGAAAAATTAAAATTGAAAAACTGAGAAAGAATTGCTCAAATGATTTATACAAAGTTATATCTAAGCAATATTATTTAATTTTTTAAACTTGACTTTTTATAAAACAAATAATGCAAAAATTATACTCGTAATTACTTTTTTTATGTTTTCCTATTATTACTATTTTCTTCCACCAAACAGTAATTTTACAAAAGAAGGAAGAATATGTGGTAATATATATGAACATATTTCGTAAATAATTATATATGTTTATACATGACAAATTATTTATTGATTAATACATGACAAATTATTTATTGATTAACGGATAGGATACAACAATTTTCTTTCTTCATTTTTTTATTTTTCGTTTTGGCGTTGTTAGTTTATTTGTTAAATATTGAGTTAAATAAATAGAGATCGTTATGGAATAAATTGCTTGTCATTATCATTTCCTAGCCTAGTTAACAAATATACCAGTGTATAATCCCATCTCCGTTCGATTTTCATTTATTAAATATTAATTACAAATTTTTTCATTATTGTTTCCTAGTTAACAAATTCGTTGTAGTTAAACAGAGATGTAAACCATATGTGAATTCGACAAAGTCCCAAATTTTGTTCCAAATGAAAATGTTCCAAA